CTCTCTCTCTCTCTCTCTCTCTCTCTAACGGAAGACTCCTCTACATGCGGAAAAATACTCTGCTCGATAGCTTTTCTTCTTATAATGTGGAAATTTATGTCCTCCGAAGTTCCATGAAATTAACTACCACTGTCTGTGTATTTCCACGAGAGAAAATCCGATGGCTATTCCGATTTATCCGCCACCGCCATGGTCGACCAACGGCGGTTGAACACGGCGACGTAATTGACTGATTCAGCGCTTCATCCTGTGCTCTCTTCTTACGCGCGATTCGAAATACTCCGCTTCGAAAGGAAACAGGACAGCACTATCGTATGGCGGTATCATCGGACGATCTCGTGTTCCGCATTCTCACCGAGAGAATCGAGTCCGTTCCGCGGCTGCGACAAAAAAATTCCGCCAGCGATCGTACTATTAATGAGAACTAAAATTTGCCGTAATTGGAGATACCTCCATTGGCGACGATCACCGACGATTTTAGAGGAACGATATTGATTCGGATCATGTGAGGCGAAACTGGCGCGGAAAGACACGCGGGGTTTCTAACGAAGATCGGGCATTAGCTCGCATCCATGTCCGCGGTAGATTTCCCCGCGGACGCTAATCACGCATCCGAGGTACTAGCTGTGATCTCATGGGATAGCGCATCGTTTCCGATCGCCTACCGATCGGTCAATTCGTCGATTGATCGCTTGACGTGTCCTCTTTTCGCTAACAATTAAAAGAGATATTACAGAGAGATAGTACACTGTAAAAAATTTTCTAAGAATTCAAATATTTTTGTCTGAATTTTCAGATCTGGGTGTCTGAAAAAAATTTTAATCTGTCTTAATTATCAGAATCGTTTTTCTAAACATTCAGAAGAATGTGTCTGAAAATTCAGACAGCATTCTGTCTGAAAATTCAGACAGTGTGTCTGCAAAAAAGCTGCAGACACTTTGTTTGAAGTTTCAATCAATTTTTTGTACAGTGTACTTTTTGTATTTAATGATTTTTTATTAAAAGTTTTGAATGTGAAATTTAATTTCTCAGAGATAGAGCGTCTTTAGCTTCCAACGTACAAACGAGATATCTGGATTATTTGAAAGAATTTCTCTTTCGCGCATAATCCTTCGTTCATCGTGCAGACTTTTGGGCGCTCTATGGAGCTTTCAGAAATACGTATAAAGCATGCGACGCATAATTCGCGCCTCGAACGACGAGCATTTCACGCACCACGTATCGCACAGGCATAATCCGCAGTCCAATTAGCGATAATTACGATCTGAATTGGGAATTCCTAATGGTGGACATCCCCGTGTTGGTCTGTTCGTTTGTATACCGTGATTTTTGCAGACGGCGTAATTCGAGGTTCAAATTAAATTCGTTCTTTTCGCTTATAATGACGACGACCAGTTTATTTAAGTAACTCGAAGGATTTTGTCGCTATGCTCCTTTTTCTCCACGTTGCATCTTGCCGTTTCTTAGAATTTTTTCCCAACCGAAAAACGAATATTTTCTCGTATCTTGGTATAAAATTCGAGCTAATTTTCTGTTTCGGCATTATTCGCGTATCACTATTTCGAGTTATCCTCATTGTTGAGAGAGATAAACGATATAAATTGATTTGGAGCATTGGTTTACAATCTATATCTTGTTAGCATCAGCACTAATGCTAGCAATAATCGTTTCGTTTAATGCTATGAATAATTCTCTCCTGCTCATGTGTATTACATGATTGATATTAAACAAGCTATTCCGTAATTATTTTCTGTGCAATAATATTGGATAAAATTACACATTTTTTTATATAAAACTTTATCTTCTAATAATACGAATAAAAATATTAGAGATATATATAAAATTTAAATTTAGTATATTCTCTGTTTTCAAATTCAGAAATATCAATATGTAATAGACTAGTAATCGTTTGATACATAGTAATTGTGACATACTTAAGATAGTGATGTCTAAAGTTGTGTTGCAAATAATTTTTTGTTAGCGCACCCGCTGTTCGGAGATATTAAATTAATATATCGATTTAACAGCATCACCTTTCTTTGACTAAGTCTCGCTTGTGTAGAATGACCGACGAAGCTGTTACTCTGGCTAAAAACATGCCGTCCAAACTAGTTCAGGAAATTACACCGGTTTACGACACGACGCAGTCGTGGCAACTATCGCCATTCGGACTGTGTTGCAGTTGCACTTGGGAATACCCGAGAACACTATCGCACAGCTTAATAATTTACTTATTAATTATTAATCTCAATTTGTCTACAACATGTGTGTGGAGCAATTACAACAATTATACTGCATCTCATTTGCTTTGGATCGAACAAGTTATCAAAGTTATTTTGTCCTTTCTCACAAACACACATATAATACTATAGTATTTTCTTTCATGTTTGTTTTATGTGTCGACAATATAGATATATTATTTTCTTTCCTTATCTAGTATCGTTATGACAGCCAGCTCAAGTTAAATCGAAGCAATCTTGAAGCAATTTCAAACTATAATTTTGATCAACAAACACAGACATAATCGAAATATATATTATTAAATAATGTAAAAACAAGATAAATGAGAACATAGACAAATATTAAATAAATTAAAAACATGTAATTTTTTATATTTTTCGTCGAAATCTGTTAATTTTTGTAACCACAAAAATATCTTTTATTTATATCTTCTTAAAATTAGTTTAGAGAGATAAGAGATGGAATAATTTACAAGCAAAAATATGAAAACAAACGGGAATTAACGTTAGTACTTTGACAAATAAGATCATTTGTAGACACGAGCATTAAAACAGCTTGGTCGGCGGGTGGCGAAAAGACGCGTGAGAGCAGTTTACAGGCAGTGATTTAAAGGTTTATCGAGCGATGATGCTTTAAGATTACTTACTCGCTGGGACATAATTTCCCGGCTCCCGGCTGCGTCTTCTTGCCGTAATTTACGGAAACTTGCCGGCAATATGTTGAGAATATCGCTTGTCTTGGTAAATGCACGTGAGAAAATTTACTTTATTCAGAATACGATAATCTTGATTCGCGAATCTTTAAACTATCTTCAAGCAAACAATTAAAAATTAGTTATTAATTTCTTTAGTTTTTAATATGTATTGTTTTAACTCGTCTTAAAGAAGCAAATACGCGAAATGTTTAAGAAATATTAGATTTCGAAAATATATTTTCTAATCTGCCTGTGTTTATATTCTTATCTTTTATTTATAACTTCTTTGTAAAATTATCCCGTTGTTAATAATCTCTCTATTAATAAAGCTTCTCTGCGTAATCTCAAATTACATAGGGATCAAAAACGAAATGTTATACGCAACCTATGCCTTGAGCGAACTCCTTTTTTGATTAGATAAACTTAATACGTCGAGTACTCCTCCCTACTAACATTCCGGACCTTTTGCTACGTATCAGGTAGCACGATTCGCAATTATGTATTCATCACGATACCATGCGTTATTCAGTGCGATATTGAATATCGCGTTGCCAAACAAAACATTGCGGAATATCGGGATTTCCTCGAGTAATTGGAAGGCTTGTTACCGAAACTATTACCGCGATCGCATTATAATTACACTCTCTGTGCTCAGCGCTACGTTACAGGTTTATCATAATTTCCTATACACCGTAAATAGGAAATCTGTTAATTGAACCTGACCGTTATTAACTTGCGGTACCACTAACTCCACGTTCACGACACCTTAATTATCTGTTGTTTACTTAGCACAAAGAGAATCCTGGAGCATATGTTATATTTGGAAAATCTAATCGCAGTAGTAGCGAAATTCTCTCACTATGATAATTAAACATGATGTAAAAGGCTCTAGATATATCTGGTTTATAGATTTCTATTCAGATTTATTCAGATTTTCATATAATTTTTATCTTGCAAATTTTATTTAATATTATAGCTCTTGGTTTCAGAGAATTCTTCATAGACTTTGAATCTCAAATATTTTATTCAACAAATTATTGATATTATAGTATTTCTTTGATAATATTGAATTGTGTGTGTATACTCTTCATAATTTGGCAGCTTTTTATTTTTATTAAGATTTAAAATCAAATTAGTTAAATTGATAAATCTTGATTCCATACAGCTTTCATTCTATAAATCCTTAGTGTATCGCGATTTCCTGACATATTTTTATTCGTACAGATTCTCGGTTTGTTGCCAATTATTTCTACAAAACCATTTCGCAAGTCGAGTCATAGATTTGTATATTACTCATACTTTATACAGTGTTTAGCAGAGCCTCTATCTTTCTGTTTTTGTTCGATAAAGAATTCGGCTATCTTTATTCCAATTCTAGACAAACTAACGATTCACCTGGGACGTTAGAGATCCCGAAGAAGAACAGGGATCAGTACACGGTGCTAGTCGAGAAAGTCGGCGATATCGGCGATAGAATGGCGTATCGAACTTTTGGCAACTCGTAACTATCGACCGGTTGAAGCTTGGATAGCGTCCAGCCTCGAGATATGGAAGATATGGAAGACTCTTGATGAGGTCCCCTAGAACCGACTTCACT